CTCTCTCTCTCTCTCTCTCTCTCTCTCTCTCTCTCTCTCTCTCTCTCTCTCTCTCTCTCTCACACACACACACGTACACACATACACACACACGCGCACACACATATACGTCACGACCCTACGGTATGTCGCATGAGACGCAAAAGGTGAGCCCGGGTGAATGGAAAGTTGACGATCATGCCCGCAGTTCCCGTGACGGTCGACCAAGAGAAAGCGAACGCGCAGGAGATCGAAGCGCGTTTCGCTGTCAGGCCAGGTCGAGCCGCCGAGGCACTGCGGGAAAATGTATCTCGGGGATGTATGGGGGCCTTCTCCCAGTAATGAAAAGTTGCGGTTCGTATACGCAGAACAGCAAAAGAGTAAGAGGGAAAGACGTCGGGCAGGGAGTAATATAAGACGAATCTGATCGATACGCGTTTTGCATGAAACAGAGAGAGAGGCGAGTATCATTCAGAAGAGCAGGAACGTCAAAGAGACGGAAGCGGGTAGAGACCAAGATAGGCAGAGAGATAGACAGAGAGAGGCAGAAAGATATAAGATAAAAGAGGGGAAGGGAGAGTGAGAAGGAAAGAGAGGAACAGATGAAGAGAAATCAATAAGCAAGCTTATCGACGCAAGTTTACCCTTCGCGTTTCGAAAATCCGTCGGTGTGTTCGGTGGTTTTCGCGAGTCTCTTGTATCTGACGATCGCCACGGGCGAGATTGTCGAATCGAGCGAGCGAGCGAGCGAGCGTCGAAGCGAAACGTCACCTGGAAGGGTTACTCCCTGAAGGTGGGAAAGGAGGTGGTCTCTCCTTGCGGACGGCGGATCGCTCGTGCCTCCTCGAGTGCGACGAGGGCAATCCCGCACGAACGTAGTCGGCGGCGACCGTCGATGCGACGAGAGATGCGACGGATGCACCACGCGCTGCGCTCGGCGCTGCCACCGATCGATTAATATTTAACGCACGGTGTAGTAACGCGCGCGTTGGCGGCGGCGACGGTGGCGGCGGCGGCGGCGGCGGCGGCGGCGGCGGCGGCGGCGGCGGCGGTGACGACAACGACGATGACGACGACAACGACGACGGGGACGGTTCAGTTGATGCGTGGGGTAGTTCTCTCTCTCTCTCTATCTCTTCCTCCCTCTTTCTCCCCCTTTCTCTTTCCCTCTGTCGGCGCACTAAACGAAAGATATTACTCCCTCACGATGCAACCCGCGACCGCTCTCGTCGGTCGCACGCAGCACGATAGCGCGGCAAGGGTTTATTTCGCGATTACAAAGAGACTGGACTGCTGGCTCACGGTGAGGTCTCGCGCCACCGTAGACTCCGCGTATATAGCTAAAATATCGACCATTTCGTACGAACCCCCGCCCGTGTCGGCCCGATCCGGAGGAAAAGCCGCGCTTGCGCCCGCCGAACGCCCCGACTGACATCAATATAACTGTGAATAGGTGGTGGGCCGCACACCCTCCTGCTAGGAGGGAGAGAGAGGACACTTGTTGATCCGGGGCTTCCCCCCGTGGATATCACGTCGACTTCCGCGACTTTCGATCTGCCGCTCCTGGTCGATCGAATCATTTCGTGAATCGATCGCGGCGTCGGTCATCACCATGAACGCAATTTTTTCACTTGTTGTTTTTGTCGAAGTGTGTTTTCACTCGCTTCCTTCTTGGGTGCTCTTAATTGAGAAAAGTTTCATTATCGGGCAGGAAATGCTTGAAACACAGACACGTCATCATGCTATTCCGAAGGGAATAAACGAGCGACCGAGTGATTCTGACCTTAATTAGGAAATCGCGTAACTTCGTGTTTTTTATCGGAATGAGTTACGTTTTTGAGAATTAATTTGGAGATTCCGGAAGTATCTTGAGGAGGATACTTTTTACTTAGAGATGATGTCCCCTTTCCACGAGGAAAAGACAATCTAATGTTTAATTTGAGCATATTTAATATAATAAATTAACGAAAATCGCGACAGAATTATTTTCAAAGTTCCTCATTGTGGAACAATCAATGCTGAATCCGATAAAGAAAAGTATGATTGAGCAAAAGTATCTCAAATATGCAGCGTGAAGTAATAACCGACCTATGTTTGCCTCACATAGAATACTATGTGTTCCATCTATAGTGAGACTGGAGAACCTAGAGTTTCCTTGTATTTCTGTCGACTGGGGAGAAGGTCTGATTAACAATATTGATTTCTAGCGGTGTAACACCTCAAACGTTCGCTTCTCACGGTATATATTAATATGCTTGTGCATATACACTTACTGTTTATAAGTGAACGACCTCAACTATGCCGATGCGTCATCATATGTTAAATATATGAAGCGTATCAATTTTCTCTGATCACTTTTAATTTGACAGGATACCAATAACATCTTCATTTTGTCTGTAATAATTGTGTGATATTTTGCTGAGCACGCGTAAGACGTTTTTGGAAACAATACATTGAGTTAAAGATATACTTGGAAAATAACATAAAAATAATATCGTTAAATAGGAAAATAAAAAGCTTTCCTAATTCCCGCTGTTGAATTGCATTGAAAAAGTCAGTCTGACCTATCATTGAGTCGTACTACGACTTCGCTTTCTCCGTTAAACACGGCAACGGCTCGTTATGCACGTTTGAATTAAAGACGGTAAAATATTACAGCCAAGATGCGAACCTTATTTAGTCAAGATTCAAACCCACTGGTAACTGGCCTTTTTGCAATACCGCTGGTTGGCGCCAGGCAATCTGTTAAGCGCCTTTTCCACGGGTCTAGCAAGACATATCATTCCAAAATATATTTGCAAAATCTCCACTACGAGTAGCTACCGTTTTTACTGATAGAATAAAGTCGTAATATGACTCAATGAAAGATCAAATAAACTTTTTATTTCCAAGTACTACGATATTCTTTCTTTCTTCAGCGGTAGGTCTATAGATGCAATTACATATTATTTATTAAGTATAATATAAGTAATTATGCAAAGATTAAAAAATAATCGATTATTTTCGGCGGTTTGAGATACGGTCAATTATTTATATATATAAAAATGGATTATTTGGATAATTCTTCTTTTCTTTTCGATATTACTTATATATTAATTAGCAGTCGTTCCTTAATTTTATGTATAAGGCTTTTTATTATACATTACAAAAATGCGTAAAGTCTACTATTTACAGCGTCTCTATTCATTAAGAATTCTTAACTTCATCGAATGGACGTGTAATATTCCACCGTGAACAATATTTGGGCGAAATACAAAAATAAAATCATCTGACACTTTAGCTCAAAATATATCCTTTGTACGTTTAGCACTAATAATCACTAAATCGTCGCACGAGAGTAACACGTATCCGTCGGTATAGTTAGTTTAGTTTCACTTGACAATCGTGGCCTCGTGTATTTATTAAAACCGACGTATCTAATCGCGCAACAGAACGCGTTCTCATGAAATATGGAAGCTTCTATAAGCGATAGCGGAGGAACAAGCTCGAGATCGATAAGGCAATGTCTGCTTCTCGAGCGTTCCGCTCTTAACCGATATTAGGAGCTCTTCGTGGCGGCTTCGCGTTTTTTTCTACGAAGTAACGCGAAATGATAAGTAACTCGCGACTTTAACGCGCTGTAACCTTGTGGAATCGCGCGTTCGCTTTTTAGCTCCTTGCCCGGAAGTTTCACCTCGGAATCAGTAAAATTGCTTCAATTACGTGCTTTTGTATAATTGAGCTCCGCTGTGCTACTTCCAAATTAATTAAAATTCATCATCACTTTATATTCGATCATCTCTTGTTCTCTCCCCTCTTTTCCTTCATCTATTCCAACGTCAATGGCGGAAAGGCGATCGATTTGTTTGCGCGATGATTTTTCTCTTGTTCAAGCGGCGCATAATAAACCGCGCACAGCGGCTATTAGATTTAATAACCGTGTCTAGAAAATAATAACCTTCGAAGCTGGACTTTGTTCATATTTTCTTCGTTCAAAAAACCAGGTATCCAGCTCGTCCGGTTAACGCGATTTCGCATTGTTCTTAACAAAACTTCATTGAATAAATAATGTTATCGCACAACGCGTCGGCAATGATAAGTCAATTTACAATTTGCTCTCGCTATTTTCATCGTAGACAACCGCCGAATTCGTGGCAGCCCATTTCTCCTTTAAGACGTGTTGTTCCTTTCTAGGCCTGTTCCTCAGGTCTTGTATGCCTGCGTAATGTTCCTCGATTTCCCTCAAAGTCCTACCTTCGGTCTCGGGTAATATCACGAATAGTAAACAGCCGCCGATCAGGTTGATCAGAAAGTTGAAGAAGAACGTGCCGGACAGTGTTAGCCCGTTCATTATGTAGAGAAAGGATTTATTTGCGATCGATGTGAAGATGTAGCCGATCGAGCCGGCCGCGCCGGTCGCGCTGCTGCGTACCTGGTTATCAACATAAATCATTTGATATAATGAAAACATTGTCGTTAAATACTTACGAGCTACATAGACGAGATCAATTATTCAGCTTCGTGACGTAATATTCCAGGAAAAATCATATTACACGAAAGAAAATAGATATTTCTTTGAAGTGAAACGCATGCAAATGTAATAATTGGTATCTTTATAGGGAGGCATCTCTTTATCTCTGTTCGCATTCGATTCCGAAATCATGAAAAGAACAGCTCAGTATCAACCCTTAGGCTGCGAGAAAATTTCAAGAATAATTTTTGCAGTGTCTTTTAAGAAAAATTTGTATTAAAATACTAAAGATTGTAAGTAAATATTCTATTTAGATATTACCTAATATTTTTACCATATTTTTTATCTAATAAAAACAAAATAGGGTTGGTCAAAGACTCTGCACTGTAATTAACGTTGATAAAAATAACGTCATAGCCTTAGGGTTAAAGAAGAGAATTTTCCACTCGAATTTCAATCGATTGCTAATTTAATTGCACGCGTGTAAGAAAACTAAGAGAAAAGTCGACAAGAGTTACGCGAGATTAAAATTAAGAATTAAAGAGGGAATAAATACGAGATCATTGTCAATTTCGCGAACGTACATTCACGGGGAACACCTCGCCCACGAGGATCCACGGCAGCAACCTGATGCCGATATGCGACAAGAAGGCACTGCCTATCATGAGAATGGTCGGTATCCAGGTGTAGTTCACCCCATTTATGTACTCCGCGTCGTTCAGATAGCCGTAGATAGCAGCGAGGAGGAAGCACAGGCCGGTGCCGCCAACCGACAGGAAGGACAGTGTGCGTCTTCCCATAAAACGAATCGCCATCACGCAGATCAAAGTGCCGATCAATTGCGCGACACCTAAACACACCGCGGCCGTATAACTGTCGATCGGCGCTTTGAGCTTCACGAATATCACGACGGCGAAAGTCTGCAAGGTCGCGATGCCGTTAAAGGCGCTGATGAAGAAAGCTGCGCTAACCAGGATGAAAGGCAGGTAGAACGTGCGTTTGGTGTACAATCGCCAGGTCTTTTCTTTCTCCCCGGTATCGGCCGGCTTCTGCACCGCTTCGCAGAGCGTCCGATATTCGTCTCTCACTTGGTTCGGGCCTACCCAGCCGCGTAGCCAGCAGAGAGCTTGCTCTGATTCCTTAAGACGACCTTTAACTGAAAAGAAAAAAGCGAACGCACCCGACGCGCCGAATTGTTGACTCCCAACACGAAACATAGTTGGATATTCGTTTTGTAGAAATAAAAAATTACACAGAGCAGCCAAAACACACTTTCGAATATTGAAATACGATTTCGCGCGAGGAAGACGGAGAAACGGTATATATCGTGTATGTCGTGTGTATTTAATGTCTTTATTGAATTAAATTGACTTAAATTCAATTAAATCGAAATTAAACTAGATAAAAGCGTATAGAATCAAGTCAGATAATTCAATTGTCTAATCGTCGAGTGGACAATCTCTCAATAAGTGAATCGTTCGTGCGAGGTAGCTCACCAGCAAACCAATACGGGCTCTCGGGCACCAGGCACAACGAGAAGAAGCAAAGAACCGGATAAGCCAGGTTGATCAATGCTACCGTTCTCCAGTGAGCCAAACTGCCACCTAACATCTGCGTGAAGACACCTAGTATGACGGCTACTGAGGAAGTCGCAGAGAGAATGCCGCGCAAGTGAGCCTGCGTTATTTCTGCAACGTAAGTCAAAACCGGTGCTTCTAGAAGACCTCCGGTCAGTCCTGTCAACGCGAGCGCTGTAAACAGCATCGCTGAATTGTTGGCATAGTGAAATATCAGCCAGGCCACCACAAATGGAATGTTGGACATCATCATTGTGCGCTTTCTCCCGAAATGTTGCGAGAGCGGTCCGCTCACGAGACAGCCGATTGGCACGAGAAATAAATTCAGACTACCTGGGAGAATATATCTTATTGTTATCACTGATTATATTGTTATGTGAAAACATAATTATATTCTTATATTATTATAAAGATCAGTAGATAGAGATAGATAGATAGAGAGAGAGAGAGAGAGAGAGGGGGGAGAGAGAGAAAGAGAGAGAGAAAGATATGCACCGTAACACACCCATTAAGGCCCAAGAGAAAACCGCTGAGGATAGGCTTTCAAAAACCATCTAAATTAGGACAAAGCGTCGAAATTTGTTAAAAAGTGAAAAAAAAATTTGTGTTGGATTTCAAAATTCAAGATAGCGGACCAATATGTCGGCCCGAAAATTTTAAATTTTGACCTATTTGAGTGAAAATCCGTATAAGGGGGGGGGGGAGGGTTTGGGATTCGCTGAGCATGAATATGCACTTATTTTTTCAAAATTCGTAGTGGCGGATTCAATATGTCCGCTCAAAGATGCGAAAATTTGACATAGTTTTGTTATTTGGTGAAAAATCCAACCAAATTATAAGCTACCTTTTTAAGGTGTTTGTTTTGGGGCAAAACATCATACTTTAGCAGACTGTAGAAGAAAAATGGTTTTTTATTTTAAAAATCAATATGGCGGCCAAAAATTTTTAATTTTGGTTTATTTCAATGAAAATATGTTTTGAAAAATTTTGAAAAAATAAGTACATATTCATACTCAGCGAACCCAAAACCCCCCCAAAAGGGTTCTCACTCAAATAGATTAAAATTTCAAATTTTCGGGCCGAAATATCCAACACAATTTTTTTTTCACTTTTTAACTAATTTCGACATTTTGCCCTAATTTAGATGGTTTTTGAAAGATAATCCTTAGCGGTTTTCTCTTGGGCCTTAATGGGTTAATTCGGCTTTATCAGCTAAGTTTTAGTTTGTCGATTAAAATGTTGATAATTACGCGGGACTCGATTTCGATGGATGAATATTGTAGAGAAAGCGGAATGAAACTTAAAAAATTTCATTGAAAAAATTCCCAGTTTATATTCCAGAGAGCTGATATTCTTTGTTTACTCAAGCCGATACTTACTGATCCATGTTAGCTCCTCTAAACTGACAATGATATCCGAATCATCTCTCTGTAAAGCCGGGATGAGGATAGTTGAAAACCCCAAAGAAGAACCGAACGTGAGCAGTAGTAAATTTTTTGCGCTAACCGCGCAACATTGCGGTAACGTTTGTCGAAATTTGGAGACCTGTGTCTTGTTGACCGCAACCGTTTTATCATCACTCCTGAAATACACGAAGAATTAATGCAACATATATTTTAATAATAAGACGATCGAAATATATAGTGAAATTATATTTAATAAAATTAACTTATCTATATAAAACTTCTTAAAACTCCCTTTAGAATTTCTCGTGAATAATCTTGTACATAAATTAAATTAAAATCTTTAAGATGTGTGTGTGTGTGTGTCCTTGTTACATAATATTAATATTTATTATTAATATTAATATTTTATTATTTTAATTTTTAAAATTTTATCTTAATCTTATTTTATCGTACTCTTTTTCCTCGCGCATGGAATATTCTATATTATAACTGCTGTTTAAATTATCCTACACGAAGAAAAATAATTTGCTGGCCCAGCAAATTTTCTACTAGCAAAATCTTTTCGTTATTATATAGACAGCAAAACGATTTGCTAAGAGTACTAATCACTATTTGCTGGATATAATTTGCTGAATCTACAAATTATTTTGCTATAAAAACCATGATTTATATAAGCAGTTGCGGTTTTGCTCCGATAGCAAATAAATTTGCTAAGGATTTTTTTGCATCAATAGCAAACGTAATTCTTAGGATAAATACACTTAACAAATTTTTTCTATCCTAGCAACGAAACTACTTCTGCTCTCATAACGAACAATTTGTAAGATTAGTTATGCCAACTAAATTTTTTTGATGTCACTACAGATAAATATACAGTAGCAACGACGATTTTGCTAAAAGAGCAAAATTATTTTTCCTCGTGTAGACATATTAACTCGAAGACTAATAAGAAGTTTTACGGTACGTCAAGCGCCCATCAATCAATTATTTAGATAAAAGCCCGTCAGTGTCAGCGCTGCGTATATGGAGGAATAATTTTCGAAACTTTCGCAATATACCTGTAGAGTCATATTTTCGCGAGAATTCTCGTATTGAGATGATAATCACTTGAAAGGCCAAAAAGTCAAAAAGAGCGTCATAACGATTCGTTTTTCTTTTTTATGAAAACAACACAATAGCAAACAATATGTCACGAACGAGAAATATATGAATCGTGCTATTTTTTGATCGAACAGTATATAAATTTTAAGATATTCATTCGGTTTCTCATATATTTATTAATACGTATATTTAGCATACCTTGATAAGTAGATAGATATAACTGACTTTGTCTTTTTCTTTCTAAAAATAATATTCTCTGAAACTAAGAGTTACTTAATAACCCTGAAGACTTTGGGATTCAACACGCTCGGCAAAACCTTACGCGTCTACGTGTACTGCATTGAATACTCAATCAGCCGAATAAACGATGTTAAATAGGACACAGGCAACTATCAAGGTAAAAGTACGGCGTATTCGCGAAGATGACTGAGTTTATTCGCAAAACACTTCAATATATACAGGGAGAGCTGATGTAATGCGTGGTGACTATTATTTTCAAGCGTGTGCGTACACGTACGCATGTGGTGGAAAATTGTGGTAGCTCTAACGATAATATAAGTGTTAAGAATCTCTGTTATGTCGGTCTCCGTATGCGTAATTAATCAGGATAACGACGCGTATCACACTTAGCGCGCGTTTAATGCGCGCAGAGAATGTCCCTGAAGTCGTGGCTTGATGTCTTCATTAGAAAGGAAGAAAGAGGTGATAGTGCATAAATTTCTAGTATCCTGAGGGGACAAAAATAAACCGATAATCTCGCTCGCGCGCTCAAAGAACGGTAAACCGGTTTACGATGATCCACATGTCGCGCGTTGCGCAAACGTTCGAGAACGCGCATAATTACATAAGCGCAATAACAGTTGACGGTTGTAAGCGAGCCTTTTATGTCGAATCGTGCCGGTGTAAAATCATTTGCAGCGAGTGTCACACGAGTCGTCGGGCGAACAATGTGACGATTAGAGCGAATCGTGTGTTTACGCGAGGTCGCGTGACAAAACGAGTAATTATCTTAGCCCTAATCGTGCCCAGTGATTTTCTTCCGCCATTTCGTCATTTTACAGATCACGCGGAGTCGGTGTGTCACGATTTATGGGACAGCTTTGGGACCCGAAACGTGTCAGTTGTTATTCTCCCGTTGTCAGGTCGCTATTCTTTCGCTCGGAATGAAACAAGTTCAATAATGACGTAACGCGATCTTGTTTTCCACATGCGCGGCAACACAAATGCGTTCGTTGCTCTTGCTCGCGCGCGCGAAAAGGAAAATGTGCAATTTTACGAACTCGAAATGAACAGACAAGATACGCAGTTATTCTTCTTTAGAACTTTCTTAGGGAAAATTGCTCGCCATTTGTCCGAAATTTGTTCATTTTTGACATTGTGCTGCACGTTTCACTTTTTTACAAATAATTTCTTCAGGTCAGGTTCTCCTAATGACTTAAAAAACGAAACTATTTTCGTACAGAAATATTCAAAGTACAGCAATTTCAAATAAGTGGTTTAAATTGGTTAATTACATTTAAGTTTGTTCAGTGCACAACGCACATTAGTGGCAAGGTTATGTATAAGCAATGATAACAACTTAGTTTATTTTGTTATCTACTTAAATACATATATACATATATGCATATATACATATATACATATATGCATATTGCGTTAGATAAGCATAGTTTTTCCGGTCTCTTCTAGTAGGCGGCCACCTTCTATTTCTATTAGACACGACCAATGACGTTGGCATGCTAATGAGCAATCATACACGAAAAAAATGAATAATTATGTTAATCGGAAGATAGTAAAGTATTACTTTTATTTTTAGTGACGCCATTAAGAGCTAATTTTATCATGTAATTTTTATATAGTGGGAAAGATAATAATGTTTGTACGTAGCGTCCAACTTTTGTTATGAATTCCGAGTTATGAATTCTTAGACACATAACTGCATAATACTACAAACTCACTCGCTCGTGTTTCCCGTGCGCTTCTAAGAAACTTCATGCGACTCCTTTATAATTTGTTGCCCGAGAATGGCCTGGTCGCGACATTCTTACAAAAATCATGTCAGTTTTGAATTAGTCAAGATCTCTGAGCCTAATTTAACCTTCTCGAATTCAGTAAAAAACAGATTAATCATCAACAAAGTGATAGTCGTCATTATTTACGAAAAAAAAGAATGATTATGTTAACTAGAAAAATGTGGTGTTAACGCACATGCTGAATGATTTACCGGTCTTAATTAACGACAAATCGTTAACTACGAAAAATCATTCGGTACATGCATTAATACACAAACATTATTATCCTCCTCATTATATAAAAATTGCACGAACATCCAGCATTAGCTCTCAATGGTCTTATTTTCCTCGTAAAGTTAGGTTTTACCTTTAGAGCTTGAAATATATATTTGTTTCTTTTATTTTTAGCTCCAGTAACAAATTCTTGATTACGTTGATCCATGTGACATCATACATTAGCACTGTGATTTTTTGTTGCTCGAAAAAAATATATTTTAGAGGCTACGAATCGGGAGTGCAGCCAAGGATTGATTCTTGAAGCCAGAAAGAGAAGTTATGTCATATGTTACTATTTTTTTAGTTAACATAATCATTCTTTTTTTTTCGTAAATAATAACGACTATCACTTTGTTGATGATTAATCTGTTTTTTACTGAATTCGAGAAGGTTAAATTAGGCTAAAAAATCTTGACTAATTCAAAACTGACATGATTTTTGTAAGAATGTCGCGACTAGGCCATTCTCGGGCAACAAATTATAAAGGAGCTGTCGCATGAAGTTTCTTAGAAGCGCACGGGAAACACGAGCGAGTGAGTTTGTAGTATTATGCAGTTACGTGTCTAAGAATTCATAACTTGGTACAAAAGTTGGACGCTACGTACGTCGAAGGACGTACCAATCGATGCCGATTTTGTATCGGCCGTTCAGATCTGACTTTAATTGCACTTAGAGCACGTACCGAGTGTCCTTCGTGCGCGCACAATGTACGTCGACAATACAATCGGTGCTACGGGAAATTGAATGGTCCACGACATTTAACCGCCCGAATGAGAATCAGATTTTGTCGGGAAATTGCGACAAAAACGGTCGAGCCGCTAATCATTCAGTTCTCGGCGACTGAATCGCGTAATTCGGAGAAATAAGCGCTGCCGTTTTTCTCAATTATCTCACGACTTCGCACTCTGCCGCGAAAAGGAAGAATGATGAGAAAACGTATCCCGAAACAATTCACGTGCGAAATTCACACGAGCCGTGAACTGTTTGCGAAACGTCATACGCAAACGCGCGCGAGAAATATATTGTTGCGCGTAGCGTCGAGCATTAATCGATGAAAATCCTTTTTGACTAAAATAATCGATAAATACGTAACCTACATTAATTATTCGCAAAATCAAAGATCATTTCATCTACTGATGGAATTAATTATTAATCAAACTTGGATGTGATTGATATACCACTGATTAATATTTAATTTTACTAATCAATTGAATTACTCGTGATTGCATACATGACGATTGGTTAATTTCGGCCGTTGATTCGCCAATTATTTTAATCGAAGATAATTTTCATCAATCAATGTCCAGCACCGATTACGCACCTTTTTGACAGTTTTGTTCTCTGCTACGATTTTGTTCTGCAGTCAGCCACGATACATGATCTATGTGGAACTTTCGTCGAAATTGAAGAAATTGATGTCATAGTCGTGCGTGAGCTGTTATCGTCACGATAACAATTATTCTTTTAAGTATTTAGTTACGTTACGTTTAATTCAGTATTTTGTTACGTGTCACGTACTTGACAATAGACCGAGCCTACGGAAACGCGCGTTTTTCCGGGCTCTTTAAGCGCGCCGTGCCAAGGTTTTCCGTGATACCATATCGATATCGCGCTGCATCACTTCGGTAACACCTTCCCGGCCTGAGTCGACCCGGTCGAATTGTCATCGAGCGATTATTTATTAATGAGATTTCTCGTCGCCAGCTGACCGGCCGAATGCAAAGGAGATGAGAAATGGCAACGCCGTCTCGCAGGCAGTTCTGATTGACGCAAAGAATATTAATTAGCCGTTGCACGGGGGCGGCATTAATGCGACGAGATTGGTCAGTGGCCTATTTACGAGCAGGCAGGTACAGACGTCGTCTACCGTTTATTTCGGTGCACTTAATAGCACAATTCGGATTGCAGTAATTAGTTTTGTTAAAATAGAACAAGTAGATCAGATCAATGTACACCTGTGCTTCTAGTGTTTCGAGTCAGGCGAGAGTCTTTAGAGTAAAGTCTTGCAAAGCGAAGTGTTCATTTGTTAATTAATAACGGGGAATTTATTTGTGATATGTGCACGCAATGGAAAGTTGTTTATGCAAACAAAACGCGGAGGGAGAGAAATAAAATGTGAAGTGTAAAATTCATGCGGAAACAGCAGAGTAACACTTGAAGTTAATGTATCAATCTCTGGACGGGTCAGAGCACTGTGCGAGAGAATGTTCTACAAAAACTGACTGCGCAAGTGTTACTCGTTGATGGTAAAAACGAATTAATTGAATATTGGTTTTTACACTGATATACATATAGAGATTATGAGGAAACAAATTTATAAGATAAACCTGTCAATGTTTGGACATTTGTTTTATACAATAAATTTTTAATAACAAGTTAAAGTTAGCTATTATGCCTTGCTTTGATTAGAAAATTACCTTACTTGGCGATTAACTTTCCGGAAATTGATGCTTTCGTCTTAAACATGTATACGGTAAATTGCGATCGAAACCTGCACTATTTATGTAGTTATTTACAACACGTGTTCGTTTCGTACAATCAAGTTTGTTGCAGGCACAGTTGTGACGCGGGCTGTTTTCAGTAAAAACAAAGCTAAATGTAATTAAAGCGTCTTCGCCGCTTTCTGATGTGATACAAGTTACGTAAACGTAAAATGTGTCGTAAGAACAATTCGGATGTGATGGTAACGTTTAAAATAGAGCTGTTAGTAAGGATGAAGTAGTGGAAATTCAATAATATCTCATTTCCTGCAATTACAGTAATATTCAGTTTCACCGGCAAATGTCGAGTAATTTCATTCGCGACTCGCAAGCCTGCAGTTCGTATGGCCCCCTATATATGACACAATCGAGAAGTGAACACTCGAGATTTTTGTTTTAAAACTGACGTAGAATCAATCTTGGAACATCATATACATTCTTCGATGACATAGAGATACACAACTGACGTGCACGTCGTTTGTCAGTCGTGCACGTCAGTTGTGTACCTCTGTGTCATCGGATAGTCGGTTACTTTACTTATCATGTTCATAAATTCCACATTTTATAATTTATGAAATTTATAATTCTATGTAACGTCTTTCTACTTGTGATAAATCCACCAGTGGATGAAGATAAAAATTAATCAGAGCATTTTGTCCTAACTGTAGATCATTGAAGGTTAGTGAAACTTTCAATCATTTACATAAATTTGAGCTATTGACTGATATAAGTAACTAATGCGCATTATAGTTTTGAAACAAAAATTATTAAACTTTAAATTAGTTTATTGTAAATTATAAAGAAATAATTGGAAACATTTTTATGCGTAAGTCCCAGCTATGGGTCAGCAAATATTACGTGCCTGCATAACGTTTTATACGGTATTCAATTTTATATTAATAATTTCTATATATTGTTTTGGTCTATATAGAATAATGATATACGTAGCATAGTCTACTGACAGTTTCATAAGTCTGAAGAATCAATAAAGCGACTGATATCCTAGTTTTTTTCTAGATATTAGAATATTAAGAATATTTGTGAATATAGCTTTAGAATTTAACTGTTTGTAAACGAGCTAAAGAACATAAAAGAATTTGTTTCATGTTTTCACATTACGTATTTATATTCATTATTCGTATTCGTATACATTAAATACGTGTATTTTTTTAATACACTAATAGACAAAGTTTGATCCGAAATTGGAACTCGACTCATAATTAGGATTGCTGCCTTATTTATTCGGTTCGTGGATGAAATTACCGTTAATGAGACCGAACAACAGATTCCAGTGAACGACAATCGTCGAGTTTGTGTTTAGCATTACATCACAGGCGTGTAATAATGGCTTGCGTTGCGAGTTTCATTGCAAATTGTCGGTTTAAATTGACATATATACTCGCGTACATATATACACGGTTACGCGACACTTTCGGTAAAAGGGTACGCCGGGGAAAGCCGTTCCTCGCGTCATTAGTTACATTGCTACATCGTAATCGATCGCAACTCTAACGGAGCCTGAGAAACTCGGTTGTAATCTGCCGCGCAACTAGGCAAATTGATCTTGCGGAAATTTGCGAAACTATGTCAATAATACGTTTTCCCTTTTTTTCCTGGGACGACGGAAGGCCCCCAGGAACCAATTAGATGCGGCATACACCGGTACCTTGAATTTTGAGCTCGCAATTCTTCGGATCCTTCGCACCAAGGCTGACGCGATTACTCACGCGTTATATTGCCAAATGGGAAGTCGTGCGTTCGTGCAATAAAAAATCAGACGTCGATCAGTAATCATGACGAGAAAAGCGACGAAGGGGAAGAACCTCGCGCGAATATTGCGAGTTCTTGGGAATACTTTGGGTCTTGTTTTTCTTTCTTTTCATTCGCGATTTCCGATGACTCCATCTAGAAAGTATATCGAACCTCTTTCCGGTCTCCACGCACTCGGAGCTTGACATCTTCTTGGCTGGAGCGGCGAAATTGGATTGTCCAGTCGGGCACGAAAGTCACGTCGTGTGTATTTTACGATCCGCGCCACATATCACTGTGAGCGCTTTTTATTACGTGGTAAATATAAGAATATGATTTCGTATTTTTTTATGTATTTATAGTGCAAATAAAAACGTATTAAATGTACACAATCCGCGTAATTACGACAGTTATTCTTTATCACTGCATGATGTCTCGCCTTATTCTTGACTCGTGCATTTCTTCGAATTTACCATTCGTTGCTTTATTCTTTATCGTTTATCGGAAAGAAGCTTTATGGATGATGAAGATCTTCGTGCATCGTCAAATCGCATCAAGGCAGAGAATTAATTTCTTTGAATTTTTCCCTATTTCTGGCTCGCAGAGTGACTTTAACCGGGTTGTCACTGTTGTGCGGCGAGAGCTTTTCGAAATAACACTTGAAGAGTTGGAAGAATAAAGATAAGATTATTGCGTTTAGAAAATCCCGAATAAAATCCTCATAGAAGTGGATTTATGTTTCTGTCGGCTTCGAACTTGATGCCGATTCTTTTAACATGCTTTCACTTTTCCAGATCTTGTAGCCGGGTGTCTATATCGTTCGCATGCTTTCTCTCTCTCGTGGGGTAACCCCGGGGGAACTTCTCAACGGATATCTCGCTCTTTCGTTCGTTCACCCTCTCGAGTCTTCGACGTGATTTCGTGAGCACGTGAAGTGACTTCGTTTTTCGCAGTCTCTTTTTTTATCTCTATTGTCTTCTCTTATTTCTTTTTTTATTAAAAATCATAGACACGAATCTCTTTTATATAATCCGCGTGTAGACGATCGCGGCTGAAAGAAGACAGATGGACTGTCCTCAAAGATCGTCGCCGGCGACGAAAAATCCGGCGAGATCTCCGTCTGACCGACGACGGGAGAAACCGACGAAGTAGAAAGTATCGGAGATCGGCAGGTAGGTCACCGATACATTAGATCGGAACACCGCGATGGACTAAACGGCGCGCGACGTGAAAACCGCGAGCAAGCTACACTTTCGATTTTGACTCCCTCCTACAATACCTTCACCGGTGCTGACCGGAGGTTGGAAGCGAATCAGTTTGTACGCGCACGTACTTGTGACCTCCCTTTCCCCCCTCTTTCGACGCTATTTTATCGTAATTACACCCGGCGTACACGCGACTAGCGATCACCAGTGCGACGAGGAACAGCGTGACGGCAGGATCACGCGATCGACGATCGACACTAGGCTTGATAGTGCAGATTTTAAAGGATCATTCTCTGAGACGCGGAATCGCGTTCGCGTGAGATCGTGCAATTTCCTGGAGAATTACGCGCGAAAACGAGAACACACATTTAATTACCGATGAATTAATCGCGCATTCAGTTATTAATTTTCAAATTATTACACTTAGAGAGAAAATGTTTAAAAAATTAAAAGAATATATTTATTCGGCGGGTGTACCAATAATATATTTACTTAACTCTAAATTCTCTCGTTTAAACAGAATAAACAATTGTTCTCATGAAAAACAACGATTTTGACAAAATTTATATTTCTTTATTTGAAGAACATATTTTACTTATGTAAGAGTATGTTATATATATATTTTCCTTATGTAAGAGTATGTTATATTAATACCAGTAAATATGTTATTAGTATCCAACGAATAAATATTTTTTATTTTTTTAGGTATTTTTCTCTTACACACAGTGTACGTGTACACTGAGTACTACACGACGATACAAAAAAGTTCTCTTGTCAGGATATTTGTAATATTATGAATAATGTCCGTGTTTCACATGGTACGATTGTAACACCTGAAACATCGAGACATCTTGATATCCCTTTTTATGATTTTTTATTGGGCTCTTACACTTAAGTATCCTGTGTTTCGATATCGAGGACAGATAAATCGTACTGTCTTCCAAACTATCGGTAAATACACATTATGGTCGCTCTTATATAAATTATTTTCCTCCCGGGATTCCGTACTCTCTTCGGATCAGGGTCTTCTTATTCTTGTACACTGAGAAAAATTTCTGGTAATAATTATCCAGTGTTATAATTACTAGATTTAGTGAAATAGTATCAACTAAATATAAGGGGTGAATATAATTATTACCAAACATTTGGTAACATTTGGTAACATTTACCATATTGGTTACTATTTACCAAATGGTATGGTAAAACGCATTTGGTAAGTATTACCAAACTTTTTTTTCAGTGTATGCGGCATTTAACCTTTAGCGATTTTATGTCGAATCTATCTCGACGTTACGTTTCATTCCAGCCGATATACTCTCTAGACTTTTATAATTTGTTGTTTATTATAACTTATAAAATCAATTGCAATTATATATAACTATACAATTATAACTATATGATCATAACAATATTGGGATTTATTTTTTATTTGTTATATTATATCTTTACTTAGTTCCTTTTAAGTTTTAGTCGACAAAAGTAGAGTAAAATAAAAAGTAATAATAAGAGAAATATAAGATAAAGAAATATCAAAGTAAACGCAAAATTAACACAATACTATCGCGAGATATATAAGTGAATTATTATGGGTCAACTAGAAAGAAACGTCAGAGATAACTTTGACGTTCAAATCTCTCGTAAACGTTTGAGTTTATCATGAGTAAAAATTTTTTCAATTTCACCTCAATACGAATTTTGTGCACATTTATAATTTGAGTTGAACACGCGAACGTGACAAGTGTTATCGTTGCTAAGCTCAACTAAAGAGTCAATTTTTGTTGGCAATTTCGGTACTATTACATCTTCCGCAGTTGTAATATGCGCAAAGACAATTTTGGTCACCAAAGTTGGCAAAGGCAGCTTGTGGTTTTGTGGTTACATTCATATTTTTCTTTTACTAGACACTTAAGTATCATAAATTAGGTATTAGAGATCGTTGACGTGCACACGTAATAGAAAATGCACATGCATGTAGCGCATACAATATACAGATAAAATACTTCAAAGTATTATCATTTTGTTGCCGTGCAACAAATGTAAGAAAATTATTATTTCAATCTTACTTATTGCAACAAACATTGCAAACAAATTTCGATATCTATGCCAGAGAGATATAATTTTTTTTTAAGCAGTTAAGGCATGCACGTCCATAATCATACAGATATACATATATGCATATTAACAATTGGTGTATTATTATATATAATGCCCTAAGACGTCAATACCGTTGGCGTGAAGATAATAATGAGGAAACACTTGAGCCGTCATCTCGGGTAACCTCAATAAGACAATCGATTACGTAGACGGAATTTCATTAACTATTTTTACATCTTTATTATTACTTTTATCCTTTCACAACGAGTATTATCGTTTGTTTCAATTGTACAAAAAAGACACGATCTCAATGATTTCGTGAAATTTAAGATGCTACATATTTATAAACAAAAAATTTGCTTTGATTTGTTACATTCTAAACAGCGCAAATAAATCATCATTTTGTTCACAGTGCTCGAATTGTTTTTCACCCGAGATTTAGGGTGAACTCTGCCATCATAAGATGGCCATACTTTTTTAAAATGCTAAAAAATACATTTCTTATTGTTATTTCTTAATAGCGTTTGGCACATTACTTTACTGAAGCCTACAGTATATAATACTATCAGAGTTAAAGGGAAAATATTTTACTGAAATTTTGATATTTATTACACAAATGTCAAAACATGAGCATTGGTCATTTTACCTGAATTTTTCAGATAAAATGGTTAATAACATTAAGGAATAGGTAGCCCATATATATTTTATGTTCAAGATGTATTTGTTACTTTATAAAATAAAGAAAACATAATTTGACATGTTTATTTTAGTATAGGATATTTAATACATATTTATATGATAATAATAAGATCATTAAGAGCTAAGTGCTAATGTTCATGCCAATGTAATATAATGAAGATAATAACGTTTGCAGTGTAAACGCACGCGTCGAATGGGAATTAAGAATATTAGATAAGAGGGGTTATTTAAAAATCATAAAAAATTGGGGAATGCATTAGAGTCAGATGTATTTGAGATGTATTTTGTCAGTGAAAAGTGTGATTCTTTGTGTACGTTTATAAAAGACCTTATTATTATAAGTTTGGTTTTATCATTAGAGCTCTAAAGATACATGTTTAATTCTTTAATAAATATTATTATTGAAAAATATAATTCATATATAAAATAGAAACTTTTATTACAAAACTTAAATTTTAAATGCAATCTTCGATCAAAACATATTACACATAGAATAATAGTGAGCCATCTTACTTAAAATGAGAGTGAAAGACGGCCATAATATTTATAAACAAATAGTGAAAACGAAAATAAAAACTGCATGTTATTACAATTTACATACCTTCTTTATGTATCTAACGTTAATTGCGATAGCTTAACTATAATTTATTCGATATTAAAGCAAGTTTAGTGGACACATGAGAACGTTTATAGGTAATCGAAAATAAACATATAGTATAATATTCATAATTTTACTATTTTTAAAAATACATGCTCATACACTACGATAAATATCGATTATCTTTGTGACTGATTACACAAACGCAATGTTTTGCAATTATTAGAGGAATTATAGCCTATGATCATTTTTCCCGATATGGTCATAATATGGCGAGTTTACTCTACTCACATCATTTTTTTACACGAGGAAAATATAGATACTTTTCTTAAAGACCACCGCAAATTGTCCCACTGATTGATGCGTGAAATTTTTTCTCGCAAACGTGCACGAGAGGAAATTGAGTATTAAAGGTGATATTAATTCTGCTCATTATCCTAGGCGCTTTGTCTGATCGCGGATTATATCGCGGCTGCTGTTATTGATCTCTTCATTATTGTCACTAACACCGCCGATCCTCTCGCCTCAAGTAGCGTTGATTTACGTTTGCACGTTGATACGCGCTCGTAAATCAAAATTGAATATATTGCGCTTATTTCGTGGTGGGAAATTAAAGATTTTATGATTTTATGCAACTGTTTAGCATTATCGAGTCATTAATGTTTGTACTTTCATCCTGTAAAAGCAATTTGTTACATTCTATTGGAAGGAAAGTAGACTGCGAAATTAAGGTTCTTAAGGCGATGATGAATCCTGACACATAACGCAGTTTCGTAGCTTTCTCTTTTCTTCTAGTTGAATGCATCAAATTAAAAGTGCTTTCACCGAATGAAAGTATAAAGCTTGATCTATAATGCATTATTTGCTTCCCATTATTTTTTCTTTATCTCTTTCTGACTCAAACTTTAAATCTTAAACTAAAAAAAAAAACAAAAAACATAAAAAGAAAAAAAGAAACAAAGAACACATTGTAGATCAGGCTTAAATATTGATGAATGTTTAATGTCAAATAGTTACTTGAAATCATAAAAAAAGTTTATTTACAAACAGTTGGTAAGTTAGAAATCTGTTTTATAGACAGTCTAGAAATAAAATTTATTAATCATTTCGTGCAACTGTGTAGCGCAAAACTCATTGATGTTTGTAAAAAATACTTTCAATTCAGTGCATTCAGTTGGAAAAAAAGTACAAACTATGAAATAAAGACACTCAAGGCGATCCCGACATAACACAGCTTCATACTTTTTTTCTAGATTGGATGCATCAAATTGAAAATATCGGATGAAAGTACAAACATTAATGAACAGTTAACGCCAAATAATTGCATAAAATAAAAAAAAAATTATTAACGGTCAGTGAATTTAATCTGTTTTACCGACGGTCTGTAAATAAAAATTCAGCTAAAAGATATTAAAAAAAATATTATTAAAACAACCTTATTCAGATA